AAGATAAGTGTTAATACTTTTTAAAATATTGGGTAGATTTCACCACTGAAGCCATCTGGTCCTGGGATTTTCTTTGTTGGGATGTTTTTTATTATTGATTTAATCTCTTTATTAGTTACAGATCTGTTGAATTTTTTTATTCATAATTCAGTTAATAAGTTGAATATTTAGGAAATTATCTATTGTTCTAGATGTTCCAGTTTGTATGTAAATTTTGATAATAGTCTCCTTTTCCTTTTGATTTCTGTGGCATTAGTTACAATATCTTCTTTTTCATTCATAACTTTATTAGTCTTCTCTCTTATTTTCTTAGTTGATCCACTAAGGGTTTGTCACTTTTTAAAATATTTTCCAAAAAACAACTCTTGGTTTTGTTTATCTTTTCCATTATTTTTCTATTATTTATTTATTTCCATTCTTATCTGTATTATATCCTTCCATCTGCTAACTGTCGGTTTAGTTCCTTCTTTTTTTCTTTTCCTTGAGGTGTAACAGTAGGTTGTTTATTTGAGATCTTTCTTCTTTTTTAATGTAAATGCTTACCACTATAAAGTTCTCTCTTAGTTCTGGTTTCACTGTATCCTGTAAGTTTTGGTATGATGTGTTTTCATTTTCATTTTTCTCAAGATATATTTAAGTTTTTATTTTTCATTCTTCTTTGTGCCATTTATCATTTAAGGATATGTTGTTTAATTTCTATATGTTTGTGGATTTTTCAGTTTTTCTCTGTTACTGATTCCTAGTCTTACTCCATTGTAGTAAGAACATATTTTGTGTGATTTCCATTTTCTTGAATTTATTAAGATATGTTTTGTGGTCTAACATGTGTTTTATCCTGAATGATGTTTCGCATGCACTTGAGAAGAATGTATATTCTGTTTTTGATGTATGGAATGCTCTGCATATTTTTTTTTAAGTTCAGTTAGTCTATAATGTTCAAGTCCTCTGTTTCCTTATTGATCTTTTGTCTGGTTGTTCTATCCCTTATGGAAAGTAAGGTTTTGAAGTCTCTTGCAGTTGTTGTGTTGTGGTTTATTTCTTCCTTCCATTCTGTCAAGGTTTGCTTTGAATACTTGGTAGCTGCCTATATACCAGTACACCTATGGTGTTAGGTGTATATATATTTATAATTGTTATATATTTTTTGGTTTGTTAACCCTTTTATCATTTTTAAATGCTTTGTCTCTTATTACAGTTTTTGACTTGAGGACATATTTTCTGATATAATTATGGCTACCCTTTCTCTCTTTCAGTTATCATTTGCATGGCATATCTTTATTCATCATTTTTCTTTCAGCATATTAGTGTCCTAGTATCTAAAGTAAGTCTTTTATAGACTTCATATAGTTGAATCTTGTTTCTTGTTTGTTTTGGGTTTTTCAGCTATTCAGCCAATCTATGTATTTCATTTGGATAATTTAATCTATTCACATTTAAAGTAACAACTGATGGACAAGAATTACTACTGCTGTCCTTTTAATCTTTTAATAATTAATATTTGATATCTAAGATTATGCAAATTAATCGAGGATGAAAATTTTATAATAGAGCAGAAACTTCAAAAAAAGCTTAAAATTACCCATTTCTTCATTCTGCCTTTCCTCCTAGCTGGTGGACTAATATAAATTTGCATATATTATAGTTATCAGGCTGACTCAGCTAAGGCATAATAATAATATTAATGATTAAAACATTTTAGAGTTAAAATTACTTGTCATTCTGCTTTAACCCTTGACAAAAGTGGTAGGACAAATTTAAGATGCAAATAAATCTCCCATTCTTCTTCTACCCTAGATAAGTTCACCACATATTCATGTTTTCACTAGTTCTGTGTAATACCTGCAGAGTCAACCTGATAGCCATCCTCCTAAAATTGTCGGGTTGGCTTTTGTTGTTTGACTTTTCCTTTTTCTATGCAGACACTACATTATTAATCTCCACCAATCCCCTTTATCTTATTGCTTCTTGGTTCATCTATGTGAAATACCACAGGGCCACCATCATTATCAAATGTCAATAGCCATGTTGCAAAATGATAGCACAAGACGTCCTTCAGTGATTGAAATGATACCAAATAAATGAGAACTTTGTTTAACTAAATGTCCATCATTCGAGTGAATATCTTGCAAGCTCAAACTCTCCTAGCTTATTGTTAAATATCATCTAAGTCCTTATGTCTTAGTAATTTTGTCAAGCATCATAATGAATCATGTACTATTACATTTCTATGCACCACTAATGGGTATTTCTGTTTTTGGAAATTCTTCACTTTCAAAAGACAAAGGGATAATTTTTATGGCAATTTAGGCTTCATGCTTATTGATTGTAAAACATAGCTAGATACATGCTGTGGTAATTGGTAAATCTCTGAACTGCTTTGTGATAAAGTAAAACAAAATAAACCTGTCTTTTTTAAAAAAATGGCTCCTCAAAATGTATATGTGTTTACTTTAATAATTCAATAACACACATACTCTGTTCAGGTAAAGTCTTTATACTTTTGGTGATCTCCTTCTGAGAAAAAATTAAGCCCTTTCATAAACTATCTGAGTCATAAATACTGAGACAGATTATGTGAGGAGGTAATTTGCAAGAAGTTATTCTATCTGAAAGAGTATATCACCAACCTCTCTGAAATTTTGAGCTATAAAATGTAGTTATTTCCACTCCTTAGTTTACAGAGTTTTTGGGGGGTATATGTACATATATATACTGCTACAAAGGAAAAAAAAAGAACATTTAAAATTACCTTCTTTTCTTGAATACTGGCTAAAAGGCCAATATATACAAACACAATGTGAAGTACAGATACTGGCATATAAAACCAAAAACATAGATTTTGGAGTAAGAAAAAGCATTCCTTTTTTACTATTCATCTTAAATGTTAATTACTTATACTTCTTTGCTTCATGGTTTATTTTTAATAAAAGAATGTTATATTTGAAAATCTTAGTTAAAAAGATATTAAAATATTTTCAATTAGTGTGTAAATTAAAATGTAATGTTTTACATTCTGAATATAAAAGATTGTAACCTAGCCTAAGTATCCACATAAAGAAATATTTTTGTCCATCTATTACAGTGTTACTCAAAAATGATAAAAATCTTTCAACTAAATTCTGAAGATCATGCTTGGGATAGTTTGCCTTAATAAAAAAGTCTATGTGGTACATGTGAAACTCACTTGACCATCCTTGGGTGGCATTTAAAAATATAGTCATCCTGCAAAATGGAGAAAATAAGCATGAATTTCCAAGTTCAGAGGGTATGACTGAATAGTCTAACAATATATTAGTTGTGTGGCACTTGAAATCTATCCATTTATATGACCAATGATAGAATTGCATTTATATATTTGGAAAACAGGAGATAGATTGGAATGAATTACTGTTTATGGCCACTTATTACTCTAAGTATGTCTATTAACATGAGCTATATTATATATGTCACGCATATATAATGTTGAGTAAGAAAAGCAAGAATGCAAGATTAATATGTAGAATGATAACATTTTAGTTAAATGATCTTTGTTAGGATTGGACTGGCTATATTTCAGTCACAGATAGAGCTGAAATTGTGAAGTCTTCATACACATAAAGTTTGATATAGGTCACTGAGTCCTTCACCTTAGAGCTGTACTCACTGGTACACATGGTGTCCAGGGTCATAGTGGTTGAGAAGGGAGAAGCAAAAACATGCAACAAAATGTGTTACATGTTCTTTGTGATACAGATCTTTATCCAGAAGCAGATGCATGTTCCACACACTCATGCAAGTGGTCCTAGAGCACGCAGGAGGGGTTACTGTAGTACATGGAGCTCTGGGTAAGCACTAACTCTCTCTGTCACATACGCATTCTTTTAAAAATAATAAAATTTTTTATCTAATATATTAAGGAGACACATCAAAATATCAATGTCAGCTTTCTGTTTGGTTAATTTTAATTTTGTTCTTTGTATTTTTCTGTCCTTTTCCAAATACTCCATACTATGTAATACTTTCATAAAACAAATTATAAGGTATTGAAACTATTAAGTACTGACATCATTAAAATTACTTTAGCTTTTTATCTGTATTAGAAATTGTTAATTTACTTATTTTTTAAAATCCCTTTGGGCCTCAGTTAAAGACAACTGTATTCTTTTAGCACTCATTTTGTTACTGGCTAAAAATTTGTAGACAAATATATTTTAAGATTGATCAGCTTGCATTCAGTTAAATGCATTTTGTCAACTTTGTAGCATGACATTTTTAAGTTTATGTTAAAATCATAAAAACAAACCATTAAAGCAGGAGTCAAAAGATATTAAACCATGTAGAGGGCAGGAAATATAAGAGAAAATGAGAGAGTGAGACTCAGATATAATTTTAAGGGGAAATCACTAACACAAAATGTCAAAATATGTATCTCTGATATAAGCAGCTGTTAAAAACCATTTTAGTTTTTAAATACATTGCTGTAGCATATATCTATCAAATTATATCAATCTATTTAGATCTCTCTCAAGAAGTCTACCTGGGGCTTATGTTAGGAACTCAGAGAACTCTTCAGTCAAAAAAGGTCAGTTCTGCTGCCAGATATCAGGTGAAGAGGTAACCAGAGGGTCAGTTTCACTGTCACTGCTTCTGTCAAAGCTTCATTGGGTCACTGCTGAAAACTCTCCCTGCAAGGTCAGTTTTCCCAGATTTGAGTGTGTTTCACACATTTCAACTCCTAAAGTTGCAGCTTTTTATTCAAAACTGAGCTTCTCAGCTATTGTTTCTAAGGCCCATATAATAGGAAAAGATAGATCCATAAAAGGCACAAATTTTCATCTTTCTCTATGTCTACTTTCGTTTGCTTTGTAACTACAGCCTATCTCATCAAGAAATGAATTTATTTTTCTCCAATTTTAATCTTCCTTGGTCTTGTCTCTTGCTTGATTGATAGAATATGATAGATGTAATGCTGGTACTGGTTTCAACTTTGGTCTCAGAAAGCCTTTTATTCTTCTTTTCAGTATCTTAGAACCCTGAGATTGCCATTGAAACAGACCCCACTAGCCAGCAGAATGAAAAGAGACATGTCACCTTCATCATCATACCTCATAGTGATTGAGGACTTTAAGATGAGGCAGTTTCCAGCAACCTATCAGAGAAACGTGAGCAAGCCCAAGCCGTGATCAGCCAAGCCTGGCCCAGATCAGCAGAATCACTCAGGTAAATCATAGATTTCATGAGCAATAACAAATGATGTCTACTTTAAGCCATTACGTTTTTGGATGAGCTGTTATGAAGAAAGTAAATCAACTCATAAACACTGCAAACCTTTAGAAGACTTCTAGGGAGTACAGGAAATCAGTCTAGACGGAGTGTTCTTTAGCTGCCCTTGGTTCTCTTTTGCCAGTGTCTGTCCAGCAGACCCCAGCTGTGTGACATATTGGTGGTTGGATAATGTACTCAAACACCAATGTTCAGTGAAAGAGTGGACTAGGAGGTCAGACTGCTGACTGAAATAGTTTAGCAGTTGCACCCCAATCTTCCAGCTAAGCTTGCATTTATTTAGTAAAGATCACATGACAAAGGTTTAGAATAAACACCACTAGAAGGTAATTAGCCATGTCGACCCCCAGAGTAGAAAGCAATCATGTACCTGTGGATGGTTAAAGGTTAGTCTTAGGATCACATGAGTAAACAAGCTATTTAGATAAACTCCCTTACATTCCTTTGTTATTTACTCTTGTTATGAAATCAAAGTAAACAGGATTAGGCTGCCTTCAGCCAGATCTTTTACTGAAACTATACAAACCCCCTGGCCTTCCAAGAAGGTTTGTAACTATTTTCTATAACTTTCTTTGTAATTTCTCTTAGAACTTTGCCTACCACCCTGACTGAATCCCCACACTCTTTCCTGACAATGGACAGTAATTTATCAAATAATTTTTGTTAATATTGAACTAAAAAAATGAAGAATTTAAGTCTAGAACTTATTGCTTCCAACGAGCTCTTTTCTTCCTGTGCAATTTTACTGATATCCTCAATAGTGACCAACATTGCATGCCAACAATTACTGATAAAGACAGCATTTAAAAAATGTTAAAAGCTACCATAACTTTCTTCAAGGGAAACAGAATTCACAAAAGTTCTGTGCAATCAAATATGCTACAAAGTACCTTCCTACATTGACTTAACATGGACATATTCTTTAGCAAACTGTTAAGCCTAAATTGATCTACTGTAAGTGAGACAGAATGGATCCTAATAGATTGCAGGGAGTACAACTGGTTTACTCCTCGGTTTATTTTGCCTTAGCTTAGCTTGGCTCAGTTGCTTAACCTCACTGAGGCTTATGCAGCTTATCTACAAAACGATAGAGAAAATATAATCTGCTTCACCAATAAATCAGGTAGGTAAGTAACTCCTAGAACCAGGGCACTATACTGTGCCTGTAACCTCTCTGCCTGCAAGATATTCCCACTGAATTAGAACTCACAAAGACTGTGTTTTTTAATGTCCAATGCAAGGTCACTGAGGACATAGGTCCTTTCTGTTCCTCTTTCCTATACTCCTGTACTTTATCATTTTGTGTAGAGAACTGCATTAAATGCCTGCCCACCATGCACACATGGCACCTCCCATACAGGATAACTAAATGCTTTTTATGATCATGATGATAAAGAAGACAGTAAAGAAAGATACTTGTAGGAATTTGGGAATCATGTAAATAGAATCTCATATAACAAAGGACCAAATGACTTAACTGAGATACATGATGAAAAAATCCTAAAACTTTGAAGCTAAATGTGTGCAGCAGATCAGTGATATGCTGTGATTTCTCAGAGAGAAGGTACTTATCTCTGCTGAAAGCCTGCTAATTTGGTGGGCATTCATAATAAAGGTGGAGTAGTGGTTAAAAACATCAGACACAGAATAACCTGCCCAGCTTTTTATTCTGGCATTATCACTTTCTAACAATAAGGCACAGATGAGGAACTGCTTATAGTGCTTACAAGTAAAGCCTCTGGGGCAAGTTGTTCTGTCATTTAGCAGGTGTGTTATTTCAAGGAAGTTATAATTTTCTGGGTCACATTTATAAAACAGAAGTACTAATAGTACCCACATCACAGTGTTGTGGTGACAATGAACTGAATTCATATATGTAAAGTATTCAATTTATATATGTCACGTCTGAGACTCATTTTGCATTTGTAAAATGAGGCAACTAGTTACTCCAAATTTGGAGATATTATTAGCATGTTTATATGATATGAATAGCATTTGCTATGTAACTTAGGGAGTATGCATGTTGCCATCATGATCAACATTACAATCATGGTTAGTATCTTTAAAGACTAGATGTCTCCCTTTTATTGCTATTTAAAAAATGAACTTCATTTTTATTTAAATTAAATTATTTTCTTTTTTGAGTTCAAAAAATTGAAACTTTTTTTGTTTCAATATTTCTAAGAAACATTTTTAAAAGGATATACACCAGTACTTTTGAGTACCTAACATGTGTCAGGCATGTCAAGAGCTTCATTATTGCAATGTCATTCAGAAGCAGTGTTGCTGCAGAGTAATATAGTCCCTAGTGCAATCTTCATTAATGTTTTACATAATAAAATCAGCTGAAGTTTTTAAACCTAGTAAAAGATAGGTCCAATATTCAAATTCATGGCTGATTGACTCTTTCATCATTATCTGACCATATTTTATATTTATGCATCTATGAGGTAGTATCTACTTGAAGTAAAAACATATGCAAAATGCAAGATATGTAATAAAGGCTTTAATAATTTAACTTGTTGATAATTTTAGAATACATAAAAATAATAATGAAAATTATTAAAATAATAATAAAAAATTATTATTTTTATGTATTCTAAAATTATCAACAAGTTAAATTATTAAACAAGTTAAATTATTAAATTTATTTTTCCCAGGAAAGAAAATATAGGTTTATAGAAATATAAATACAAAATGGTGTATAGAAAAAACAGTTACCCACAGAAAGAATAATGCTATCTTAATATTTACAAAATCAAAGAAGAAATATTAGGCTACAATACCATAAGAACCAAAGACTTTAGGAAAGAGTTTCTAAATATTCCAAGAAAAGGAAACCATGCTCTTATGGCAGAGATAAGAAGGACTATGACTCAAGCATCAAGCAGATTCCACAAAAAAAACCACCATAAACAAAAACCAAATATGACTGTTTATTTTTACTTTAAAATATTTATTTATTTGTTTAGAGATGGAGTCTTGCTTTGTCACCAGGATGGAGTGCAGTGGCATGATCTCAGCTCATGCAACCCCCACCTCCCAGGTTCAAGCAATTCTCCTGCCTCAGCCTCCTGAATAGCTGGGATTACATGCATGGGTCATCAAGCCTGGCTAATTTTGTATTTTTAGTAGAGACGGGGTTTCTCCATGTTGGCCAGGCTGGTCTCAAACTCCTTACCTCAGGTGATCCACCTGCCTTGACCTCCCAAAGTGCTGGAATTACAGATGTGAACCACTGCGCCCACCTCTGACTGTTTAATTCTGAATAATTTTAAAGAAAATGCAAATAGAAAATAGAATATATCTGAAGAAATAATGAACTATTAGCTCCATGAAGTACTTACATTGTTTTTTTAAAAAAGCAACAAAATATAAATTTAAATCGAATCGAGCACTGAATAACAAAGACAATGCTTACAAACAAGTGGCATGAAAATATACTGAAAATTTCAGACTCACGGTGGCTCACATCTATAATCCCAGTATTTTAGGAGTACTAGATGAGCAGGTAGCTGAAGCCCAGGAACTCAAGACCACCCAGGCAACATGGCAAGACTCTGTCTCTACCAAAAATAAATCAAATTTTTAAAAAAAGAACTACCAGCAAAGTGGTGCATTCCTGTAGTCCCAGCTACCCAGGAGGCTACAGTTTGAGGATTAGGCCTCTGTACTACAGCCTGGGTGACAGTGTGAAACCTGTCTAAAACAGAAAAGGAAATTTCAGTGATATTTAACCTCTTTGTCCCTTAGTTATTTTTTACCTGTTAAATGAAGATAAAAATAGTTCTTAGTTCATTGTGTCATTGTGATATTTAAATGAGTTAATATATTTAACATATAAGGACCAAATGACAACATGTTGTGCTTTCTATTTCTATTGCTCTACTGCTTGGTGTGCCAATAAATTATTAACAACCAGCTATGCAAAGGATGGCTTGATTTGTAGTGTTTGCTAATGTCTATGGTGTAAACATTCCCAACATGGTTGATGTCATTTATCATGAAGTAACTGAATGACAGCTCCAAGAACATACACAAAAGCATACAACTATATAATATTTCCATCATATAATACAAATACCAATAATCTCAAGAGCATAATTAGGATGTGATGGATTTTGAGTATTACTTAGTTTTTAGAAGGAAAGAAAGGAATCAAGAGATTACTTGTGCAATGAATTACAAAAATATGTATTCAATCTGTGCAGTGCATGCCTAGAATCTTGGATTCTAGAAGAGCAGAAGTATACTACTGACATTATATGCTACATTTGACATACATTTGACTCTCCATAGAGTAGAGTTAATGAATGCATGTATGGGTTATATCTATAATATTGTATTAGATATCTTTATATAGGTAAATTTTGCTTTATTATACTTTGTAATTGTCCCACAATAAAAATAAATCTCTGTTATTATTAAGAATTAACAAGACCAAGAAGTGAAGATATATAACATTCAACTCAAAGTAGTTTATACATAATTAGCTAATATTATCAGGAAGCTAAGACATGATTGTGGCTTTAGTTACAGGTAGATTCAGAGGCTAATACAATTTGTCACCATTCTTTTCTTCCCTTCAACTGCCTATGAATTGTGAGTTGGTTTTATGCTATCCTAATCTCAACAGTTTTCTATGATTCTTTCTTAATAGGATAATCACATTCTCCCAGTATTGTGACTTAAATGTGTCTTTTATATTTAATTTAGTGTATAAGTCTTGTAGAGGATACTGATTGACCCAGTACAGATAATATTCCAATTCATGAACAAATCACAGTAGCTTTGGAAATATAGGATTCAAATTGACCAGTACAGATCACATTTACTTTAGTGAAGGAAGAGTGGTGTACTGAAATTGCTAGTTCCACAGAAGAGAATAAATGATTTCTTAAGAAAATGTACCTTGTGCAGTAAATAACATAGGCTAC